ACTCTATTGCCCAGGCTAGAGTGCAGTGGTACAATCTCGGCTCACTGCAACCTCCGCCTCCCGGGTTCAAGCGATTCTCCTGCCTCAGCCTCCCAAGTAGCTGGGACTACAGGCATGCGCCACCATGCCTGGCTAATTTTTGTATTTTTAGTAGAGATCGGGTTTCACCATATCGGCCAGGCTGGTCTCGAACTACTGGCCTCGTGATCCGCCCTCCTTGGCCTCCCAAAGTGCTGGGATTACAGGCATGAGCCACTGCGCCTGGCCAGAAAATTCATCTTCTCTTTGCCTTAAATTGAAGGCAGCATACAAGTAATCCAAAGCAGGTGATTTCACTTTTCTGGGTCTGGTGTCCCCCTTCCGGGAAATGGGGATGAAGACAGCACCCATATAAAGTAGCTATGGGTGAAGTAGCTATGGGTAGCTATGAAGATTAAGAATAAATGCACTGATACCACCAGATGCTTAGCAGGGAGGCAGGCGTGAAGTCCGTGCCATCCATTGCTGGTTACGTCAATAAATAAAAGAGAAAACTAAATACTGCCACAAAATTCTGCCTAGATTTTATTGCCTGCTAAAGGCTTAGAGCCCAAGGCCTGTTTTCTCTTAGGTAAAGGGAGAGATTAACAAGGGTTGGAAGGTGTTAAAGATACCTCAGCACCAACCTAAGACATCCTCTTTAAAGACTGGACAGAGACTGGGAAGGTTAAACTTACACATTGTGTGAATCATGGTCTTGCTTGGGGCTTCCTCCATCAGTTAGTTTTAGCTAGAGTATGCTGCGGTAACAAACAGGTCTTGCTTTGGGGCCACCTCGATCAGTCAGTTTCAGCTAGAGTATGCTGCGGTAACAAATAGTACCAAAAGTCTCAGGGGCTTATGACAACCAGCGTTCATTTCTCACTTAGGCTATATGTCCATCACAGGTTAGCCAGTAACCAAAGAAAACTAGAGCAGTCACCATCGTGAACATTCAGGCCACCAGGCTAAAAGTGAAATAGAGCTTTGGCCTGGTGGCCTGAATGTTCCTGAATGTTAAACGCCCCAGCCTGGAAGTGACAGTGCACTTCTACTCACAGTTCCTCAGCCAGAATTAGTCACATGGCCCTACCCAACCTCCAGGGAGCCATCCATCTCTGAACCTGGAAGGGGGAAGAAGAATACGAATGACATCAGGCATCACCCTGGCACCCCTCCCCCTCTCCCCAGGTGACAGACAGTCTGCCAAATTCTGCTCTAGGCAAGGCCAAATGTAATAAGAACTGTCAGAGGCATTCGAGAACCATCAGGATGAACTTGTTGAATGGGAAGGGTGTTCTGAGCTCTTCCGCAGGAGAATGTGATTAGGGCCAGGAAGGTGGGGAATGGAGAAAAGTGAATCCAGAGACACACATACATTATGCACTTTTTTTTTTTTTTTTTTTTTTTTTTTTTTTTTATATTTTTTTTTTTTTTTTTTTTTTTTTTTTTTTTGAGACAGAGTTTCACTCTTGTTACGCAGGCTGGAGTGCAATGGCGTGATTTTCGGCTCACCGCAACCTCCGCCTCCTGGGTTCAGGCAATTCTCCTGCCTCAGCCTCCTGAGTAGCTGGGATTACAGGCACGCGCCACCATGCCCAGCTAATTTTTTTTGTAGTTTTAGTGGAGACAGGGTTTCACCATTTTAACCAGGATGGTCTCGATCTCTTGACCTCGTGATCCACCCGCCTCGGCCTCCCAAAGTGCTGGGATTACAGGCGTGAGCCACCACGCCCGGCCCATTATGCACATTTTATCCACCTGTGAACGTTTCTGAAATCAGTATGTGTCTTCTAATGGATGGGAGCATTTCACGTGGTAGAATTCCAAACATATTCACACACACACACACATACACACACACACACACGGAAAACTATTACAAACTCAATTTTGAATATTTTAAAAATTTAATTAATTAATTAATTTTATTTATTTATTTTTGAGACGGAGTTTTACTCTTATTGCCCAGGCTGCAGTGCAATGGCACGATCTTGACTCACTACAACCTCCACCTCCCAGGTTCCAGTGATTCTCCTGCCTCAGCCACCCATGTAGCTAGGATTACAGGCACGTGCCACCACGCCCGGCTAATCGTTTGTATTTTTAGTAGAGATGGGGTTTCACCATGTTGATCAGGATGGTCTCGAACTCTTGACCTCGTGATCCACCCGCCTCGGCCTCCCAAAGTGCTGGGATTACAGGTGTGAGCCACTGCGCCTGGCTCAATTTTGAATCTTAAACTTGATGATGTCTTAGAAATAAGTAATAATGGGCCGGGCATGGTGGCTCACACCTGTAATCCCAGCATTTCGGGAAGCTGAGGCAGACGGATCACCTGAGGTCAGGAGTTTGAGACCATCCCAGCCAACATGGTGAAACCCCATCTCTACTAAAAATACAAAAATTAGCCAGAAGTGGTGGTGCACACCTAAATTCTCAGCACTTGGGTGGCTGTGGCAGGAGAATGACTTGAACCAAGGAGGTGGAGGTTGCAGTGAGCTGAGATCACCCAGCTGCACTCCAGCCTGGGCAACAGACCAAGACCCTATCTCAAAAAAAAAAAGAAAAAAAAAGGAAATAAAAGAGAAGAAAAAGAAATAAGTAACGACATAATGTGGCGTATGAATCAGCACAGCTCACGTGTACTGGGTGGAGTGTCGGGAGTGAGCGGGTGACGGCAGAAGCAGCAGGTGCCTGTGGGAGCCCTCAGGACATTGAGAGGTTTTGGGAGTGTTTAGGGGAAGCAGAGACATTCATTGGTCCACCAGTGGAAATGGGATCTGTTTTAATGTCATGGCGTCATGTGCAAGTGGGAATGCATCTGTGTTTTTCAGGGAATGAGTCCATAGCTTGCATTAGACCTCTGTGGGGGTCCAGAACCAGGATGGCCATGTATGGTTGGGTAGATTGTGCACTGCATAGAGGATGGTGCTAACTGATGGAGTGAGTGGGGGCTGGAATCCAGCTTGGGCTGCACTCTTCTGTCCTTGTGGCCTGCCATGAGGCCACATCATCCAAAGCAAGGGGTCTCTAGCTGACTTCCACAAATAAATGATTGGCCCAGTGGCCCCACCTGGATCCTCAAAAATAATTAAGAAATCCACTGTTGGCTGGGCACAGTGGCTCACACCTGTAATTCCAGCACTTCGGGCGGCCACAGCAGGCAGATCACGAGGTCAAGAGATCGAGACCATCCTGGTCAACACGGTGAAAACCCGTCTCTACTAAAAGTACAAAAAATTAGCTGGGCATGGTGGCACGTGCCTGTAATCCCAGCTACTCAGGAGGCTGAGGCAGGAGAATTGCCTGAACCCAGGAGGCGGAGGTTGCGGTGAGCCGAGATCCCGCCATTGCACTCCAGCCTGGGTAACAAGAGCGAAACTCCGTCTCAAAAAAAAAAAAAAAAAAATTCAACTATTTTTTTTTTCTTTCTCTTTTTCTCTGCCTCTTTCCCTCAGCTCCTGAGGAACCTGACCCATTTTACTATGGTGAGTGTTGGATTTGGGGTTGGGGCTGGACTGGGGAGTGGCTGCAGGTGCTCACAGATCACTGCTGACGACGTGGCTTCAGCTATGGCCACACGATAAGTGCTGGGCCCCTGGCCATGGGACCATATATATGGGTGTGGTTCACGTCAGCTGGGTTTGTGGAGGGCAGAACCAGACAGGGGAGCGGGGTGGCCTCACACAGCCTCTGAGCCCCCTTCAGGTTTCACTGGGATCTGGGCTGGTGCCTTGGTGTCGTCAGAGAAGCAGATGAAGGAAAACCTTAGAAGCAATAACTCTGAGGCCAGGCTGCCTGGATTTGAATCCTGCCTTATCCATTCACTGGCTGTGTGGCCTTGGGCAAGCAACTCTGCCTCTCTGGACCCTTCTATAAACAAGTGATAGTAATAGTTCCCACCTAGGAGGACTGTGGAAAAGATTTACCTGGCTGGCACCATTAAATTTCCTCCATGGCACTGAAGCTCAAAGAAATTACCCCAGGCCTGGTAGATCTGGCTCCAGTTTCCCCTCTGAACACCCTCCTGTTGCCCCGACCCCACCCGTTTGCTCATTCATACTTTTCCCCATGTGTCAATTTCTCTCCCACCTCAGGGCCTTTGCACGTGCTGTGATTCTGCCGAGAATGCTTCTCCTCTAGCTTTGCACACAGCTGGCTGAGGCTCCTCCTTATTCAAGCCTTAGATCAAACATAGACTGCTCTGCTGGGAGAGGCCCTCCTAAATCCCTGGCAACGAAGAGCCACACCACATGTAGCTGGGGTCCCATTATTTGTTTTGGGGGTTGTTTGTTTAATGCTTTATCACAATACAAAAGTCAACTCCTTAAATGTTCCTTGGCCAGAATTAGTCACATGGCCTGGACCACTACTGGTAGAGTGAGTGCTCCATAAATTCATAACTCAACAAGTATTTAGTGGGCACAGGCTCTGTGCCAGGCAATGCCCCAAGCACCTGCAAACGCTGCTGTGAACCACACAGACAAGAATGCAAGAATTCCTGCCCTCCTCCTGGAACTTCCACTCAATAGAAAAGAGACAGATACTAAAAAAAAAAAAAAAAAGTTAGAAAATTATATATTAGATAAGACTATTATTGGCCAGGCACCGTGGCTCATGACCATAATCCCAGTGCTTTGGGAGGCTGAGGCAGGAGGATCGCTTGAGGCCAGGAGTTTGAGGCTGCAATGAACTATGATTATGCTATTGTACTCCAGCCTGGGTGACACACAGTGAGACTCTAAAATTTATTTATTTATTTATTTATTTATTTATTTATTTGAGACAGAGTCTCACTCTGTAGCCCAGGACGGAATGCAGTAGAGTAGTGCAGTCTTGGCTCACTGCAATCTCCACCTCCCAGGTTCAAGCGATTCTCCTGCCTCAGCCTCCCAAGTAGCTAAGACTATAGGCATACACCACCACACCCGGCTAATTTTTATTTTATTTTTTGAGACAGAGTCTTGCTCTGTCGCCCAGGCTGGAGTGCAGTGGCACAATCTTGGCTCACTGTAAGCTCCGCCTCCAGGGTCCTGGTTCAAGCAATTCTCCTACCTCGGCCTCCTAAGTAGCTGGGATTACAGGCACGAGCCACCATGCCCAGCTAATTTTTTTGTGTTTTTTAGTAGAGACAGGATTTCACCATGTTGGCCAGTCTGGTCTTGAACCCTTGACCTCCAGTGACCCACCTGCTTTGGCCTCCCAAAGTGCTGGGATTACAAGCTTGAGCCACTGCACCCAGCTCTACAAACAAATTTTAAAATCAGCTGGGCATGGTGGTGTGTGCCTGTAGTCTCAGCTACTTGGGAGGCTTAGCAGGGAGGATCTCTTGGAACCCAAGAGACTGCAGTAAGCCATGATCGCACCACTGCACCCCAGCTTGGGTGACAGAGTGACACCCTGTCTCTCAAAAAAAAGGTAAGAATATTATTAGGCAAGAATAATTCCTATGAAGTGAAATAAAGGAATAAGATTGGAAAGTGTGGAGGAGAGGATGGAAAATTCTAAATAGGACAGCCAGAGAAGATTTTGCTCACAATCGAATAAAGCCCAGACATCGGCGAGGGAAGGAGCCATGTGGATATTTGGGGGAAGAGCTTTCAGGCTGCGGGAACAGCCAGTGCACAGGCCCTGAGGTAGGATCATGCCAGATATACCCTAGGAACAGCGGGGAGGCCATTGTGGCTGGAGTAGGATTGATGGGGAGAGTGAAGTGGGATGAGAGCTGAGGAAGAAAGGGACTGGATCCCACAGGGCTGTGAGAACCATAGTGAGGACTTTGGTTTCTACCTTGAGGGCAGTGGGTGCGAGGGAGGGCTCTGAGTGGAGGAGGAACCCGATCTGACTCAGATGGTGATGGGTCCTCGCGGCTATTGGGGATAGGGGTGTGGGCAGGGCAGTAAGACCCTAGAGAAGGCTGCTGCAGAGGCCAGATGGGCAACAATGGTGGAGAGAACCAGGACCAGGGAGGAGGTGGTGGAGGGAGAGTATTACCTATCAATCTAGGGTGGAAATGCAGCGGGAGAGGGCAGAGGTGGAGGGTAGAGGACACAGAGGGCAAGGGGAGCTAACAGTGCACAAGCCCATGCCCTGCATCCTCACATCAGCCCCCTGGAGGAGTGTCCAGCATGGCCCGCAGCCTCCCTGGGCAGTTCTGAGCCAGTGGCTGGGCAACCCAAAGCCAGGACTGGGACTCTAGGAGGAGCTGATGTGCCGCCCCTGCCTCGATATCCCCCTTTGTCTCCCACAGACTACAACACGGTGCAGACGGTGGGCATGACTCTGGCCACCATCTTGTTCCTGCTGGGTATCCTCATCGTCATCAGTAAGTGCAGCCCCTTCCTGGGCTGTCTCGGCCTCCACTTCCCCTGCCGGCTTCCGTCCATATCCTACACCCTATGTCCTGTCCTCTTGTTCTGTCTCTCCCAACAGGCAAGAAGGTGAAGTGCAGGAAGGCGGACTCCAGGTCTGAGAGGTCTGGCAGGAGTGGGCAGAGCGGGACGGGGTGGGAGCAGCCTGGGGCCTTGGGGTGCCTCCCTCGCAGCCGGGCAGGGTGCGCAGGGTCCTGCCACATGTTTTTCCCAAAGCTGTGGTTGCTGAACCTCTTTCTGCTTTTCTCTTTCATCTCTGCCTCCACAGCCCAACCTGCAAATCCTGTAAGTCCGAGCTTCCTTCCTCAGGTGAGGGTGAGAAACGGTGTGGTTCTGGGAGGGTTTTGGTTGGGGCAGGGAAGGGAGCCTTCAGAAGGGAAGTTGCGTGGATGGACCAGACAGGGTCGCTGCCTGCAGGTATCACGGGACAATTCCCTAGGAAGCCGGGGCAATGCCGCAGATGAAACATGCTAAACCTGGCCGGGCGCGGTGGCTCACGCCTGTAATTCCAGCACTTTCAGAGGCCGAGGTGGGCGGATCACAAGGTCAGGAGTTGGAGACCAGCCTGGTCAATATGATGAAACCCCGTCTCTACTAAAACTACAAAAATTAGCTGGATGTGGTAGTTCGTATCTGTCGTCCCAGTTACTTGGGGGGCTGAAGCAGGAGAATCACTTGAACCCAAGAAGCAGAGGTTGCAGTGAGCTGAGATCATGCCACTCCACTCCAGCCTGGGCAACAGAGCAAGACCC